CTCATAACTTGTCCTAGATCCAACCTTTGTCAAGATGAAGATTTAGGCAGAGAGGAACTTTATGAGAGTTAACAAGGGCAGATGTAAGGTCCTGCACCTGGGACCAAACAACTCTCTGCATCAGTGTAGGTTAGGGGCTGCCCTGCTGGAAAGTAGCCCTAAGAAGGATCTGGGAGTCTCGGTAGACAACAAGTTATCCATGAGTTAATAATGTGCTCTTGTGGCCAATAAGGGCCATGGTATCTTGGGATACTTCAGGAAGAGTGTGGCCAGGTTGGGGGAGGTCATTCTCCCCCTCCACTCTGCCCTGGTGAGGCTACAGCTGAAGAACTGGAACCAGTTCTGGGCTCCCTAGTTCAAGAGAGACAGGGAACTGCTGGAGAGTCCAGGGGAGGGCCACAAGGATGGCTGGGGGATTGGAGCATCTCCCTGGTGAGGAAAGGCTAAGACAGCTGGGACTGTTTAGCATGGAGAAGGCTGAGAGGAGACCTTATTGTCTAAAGGGCGGGTGCAAGAATGGAGTCAGGCTCTTTTCAGTAGTGCCCAGCAATAGGACAAGGGGCAATGGGGATAAACTGCAACATGGGAAGTTCTCTCTGAACACAAGGGGAAACTTCTTTAGTGTGAGGGTGACAGAGCCCTGGGACAGGCTGCCCAGGGAGGGTGTGGAGTCTCCATCTCTGGAGATATTCAAAGCCCCCTGGATGCAGCCCTGAGTGATGTGCTCCAGGGGATCCTGCTTTAGAGGGGAGTTGGGCTGGATGGTCTCTAGAGCTGCCTTCCAGCTCTGATGATTTTGTGAAGAGTGTTTGGTAGGACAAATAACTTGGCCTTGAGCTTGGATGAGGAGGTGCTTCAGCAGAGAAAATTGCATTTTTAAAATAAGATACTACAACATAAATGCTAAAGTGTGGCTACTTCTACACTATCTTGGCATTAAAATAGCCCAGGTTAGCTTCTTCGCCTTCACTGTATTTTAATCAGGCAGCTAATTCACTTGGAATATTCACCAGGTAGAATTCTAGTACAGAAAGCTGCTTTCACAGAGCAACATTTTCAAAGGTGTGCCCCTTTCTCTAGCTGAGCTGTGAAGTGACAAAATCTCTCCAACCCAGCAAAGGGAAAGCGGGGTAAGGGGTGAGGAGAAGCCTTCCTTTTCAAGAACTTTTAATGTTCGATACCTGATTAATCTTACTGAGTTAAAACAAGTTCAGCACTGTGAGTAGGTAGAAGGCAGGATCCATGAGCAAGATGATGATGCAAAAAGTGGTTCTGTCACCTACTGTGATTTTCATTTCTTGAAAAACTTCAAGTGTTTTGTTTCCTGAAGGAAAATAGTGCTACATCTAGCACGGGGTTTACTGTTTTGTCAGTAGCACTCGGGTTTGTAACAACTCTCCATGATATTCCAACCGCAGCTCCCTTTTATCTGCCGATATAATCCGGCAGGGTTTGACACCTTTTTAGACATGAAAAGACTTTATCTTGTCTCAAGTAACAGCTGCCATTAGTCTCTTTCACCCTCCCTATTTCCAAGTATCTTTCCTGACATAAGAACACAAAGCCCAGCCTGTGCAAGGCCTCAGCTAAATAATCCCCTTCTCCACTTGGGAAATTTCTCTAGTAACTGGCAAAAGATTTACCAAGTTCAACAGTTCTATTAACAAAGTAGGAATTGGTGAGCACAATTAAAACAAATTTTTCCTTTTGTTAGGCACACTCACACACATCGCTAAGTATGTCAGAGCATGTGTAGCTTGACAGTGGGATACACAGAAATTGAGGGGGTTTTAAACCTTTTTTATTATTATTATTTACATATTCATTTACATATTTTCCTTTCTAGTTGATTTCCTACTTATCTGAAATATCGAGTTACTACCACAAAGAATGCCAAATAAATGTTTCCCTTTGTTAAAATATGCTAAATATATCTGCACTAAGGAAATGTTTCACACTGTGCTCAAGTTGGGAAATAATGGTATTTATACTGCTAAGGTAGAGCCTCGGGACCTGCTCCTTATCTGCAGGAATCATTGAGGCTAGAGGGGTGCTGACATCAGGAGTGATATACAAGGTAAAGAACTCAGGCTGGTACAGTAGTTCTGCAGAGAAACTTTCAGAAAAGTACTTCAAATAATGGTGCTTCTCTACTTGCAACCCATCCTCATGAAGAGAGTCTAGAGGAGGCCACAAAGATGATCCTTGCGCTGGAGCAGCTCTGCTCTTGAGCCAGGCTGGGAGAGTTGGGGTGTTCAGCCAGGAGAAGAGAAGGCTCCAGGGAGACCTTAGAGCAGCTTCCAGGGCCTGAAGGGGCTCCAGGAAAGCTGGGGAGGGGCTTTTCACCAGAGAGGGCAGTGATAGGACAAGGGGTGATGGGTTTAAACTGAGAGAGGGGAGATTTAGGTCAGACATGAGGAGGAAACTCTTGAGTGTGAGGGTGGTGAGACTCTGGCCCAGGTTGCCAAGAGAAGCTGCAGCTGCCCCATCCCTGGAAGTGTTCAGGGGCAGGATGGATGGGGCTTGGAGCAACCTGGTCTGGTGGGAGGTGTCCTTGCCCCTCCAGGGGGTTGAAACTAGATGATCTTTAAGGTCCCTACCAACACAAACCATTCTATAATTGATTACTTTAGATGAAGCACCCTGATAGAGCCTGTTTGGGCTGACCAAAGGAGATAATAAATGCAAATATTCCAAGTCATTTGGCTTATGCATCACATTCATTTATACTTACAACCAGTTTAACACTATATTGTAGAAATATTTCCTGCAGAAGAACAACCTGTTTTATCCACTCAATTATTTGAACATTTTCTTCACAAGTGCAAGAGGTTGCAAAGCAGTCAGCTTTGGAATGGTAAAAACATTTCCCCAGAAAATAATCCCTAATCCTTAGATCAAGTAAATTACACAAAGATGAGAAATCCATTTCCCTTCTGTAACAAATCGTAAATTCAAGCAACAGTCACCCCTAATGATAAATGTTTGTGTGTTTATCTGCTGCAATAAGCAGCTACAGCTCAACTGAAAGCAGGTACCTGTACAGTTGTTTCCACATTTATTGCTGTCTCCAAAGCACTGGCAGAAAACCTGCACAAAATTGAGATGTATTGCAAATGATAAACCTGACATTTTTCCGCTCTTCATGCTTGAACTGTATTTATGAAGTCAGATTAACTTGTGGTGATCTACATAGTCTCTTTTCCTTCTGCAGCTCTTAATGTCATAGATTAATATCTTATTTCTGGATTCCATCATCTACAAGTCATGAACTTGGCATTTAGTGAATCATCCATTAAAGCCATCATCCCAGGCAGATTTGGAAATTAAAAAAACCCTCCAAAAACTCTCCTTGCCCCCCAGTTCCAAACAAATCCTTAAGACACAGAAACCCACACATTATGGGTGAAATTTTATGGTCTCTCCAACAAAAGAGCACATTCCCATACACTGGGAGTGCACACAAGTGACGTCATTCCCGTGATGTTGCAATTTGTCAAGGAAAATCCAAACTCTTGATTCCCACATTTAGTGCTCACAATCAGCAGCAAGGAAAAAAACAACCCAAAACATAACCAATAACAATATTTTTCCCACAATCAATGGTCTGGTCTCTCCCCTGCTGACCACTGCATAAGGAATGTCTCAACTTAGGGTCCCCAGGTGAATTTTCCTCTCACACTCTATAGTAATTCTGTTCTTCTAGCTGCTCCCTCACATCAGCTGGGTAGTTAAGAGTCTCCAAAAGAGAGAGACCAACTTCAAAACTGACAGTAAATATCCAATATTAAGGATTTTCCTTCTTATTTCCATAATACATTTCTCACTTAGAAAAACAATTATCAAGAAACTTTCTCCACCTACCCACAGAGGAAAACACAAATCTACCATTTTAGCTACTTACAGACTGTATTATCTGTAGACTGTGTATTTCTTCCTTGAGCACATCTAGAGCTGAGCTTTTCAACTTTTCAAGCCTTGGCCTTTATGAAGAACTGACATTTTCCTGCAGGGATGGCTATTCTACCTCTCAGTTGTTAACACTGCACCTTGGTCAGAGTGGCCCTCCTGGTTGGTCCAGAGAAAAAGTTATGAACACTTCAGCACAGACAAGGAAGCATTTCCTAATGCTGGTAAAGACAACATTTTTTTTTAGAGACTGTGTCTATAGTAGAGAGGCAGAATAACACCTTCAAAAATTGAATTCTATTCAAATTTCCAAACAAACATTTACATGGTATTATTCAAAGAATCTGCACCATCATCTTTTGATTTTCTGGAACTTTACCTTCATTCTATTAAAAGGAGAAGTGTTAGATGGGATTTCATATCTTCAGAAAAAATGCCTCAAACTATAAACGTTGGATTAAAACAGCCATCAAATTTCTTCAAATATTAGATATGACAGCTACAGAACCAGAATATCCTTTTATGGCTTATCCTATTCTTGGAAGATGCACATACAGTTTATTATAGGGCATGGCATATAAATTCAGCTACCCTGCAAGGTACATCTGCTGTGTGTCTCTCTATCTGGGCTTTCAGAGATAATCAACACAACCAGCATCCTAGGATTTGAAAACCCAGTTTAAAACTAGCAAAATTAAGTTACTGGAGCAGAATGGAAAATTTGAGTTGGAGAGTCTGGTTTAATAAGCAGGACTAATAGCTGTGCACAAAATCCTCACAATTGGCTGGGAAAAAAACAACAACCCACCTTATTTAGTAAATAAGCCTCTCTGCTCCTTGGTATACAATATCCTGATGCTTATGTACCAAGTTCAGAATGTAATCAAATCCTGAAGAACTATAGTTCAGCTATCTAGTGCTTCTGCTGTAATTTTAGTTTCAAACTTTAATTCCAGTATGCAGTTTCACTGCACTTCTTATCCATCAAAACACTTACAATTGATAGAGCATATTGCAGAAACTCTGAGAAAAACTCTGTAAAAGCTGAAGGTTCAGAGTTAATTGTTATAATAATCTATTTTATGGAGAACCTAATTGCTTTTGATTCTTCCTTTTAGTCTTTCAGACAAGGGCAGGGGACTGTCTGCCCATGCATAAGGCAGCACAGCACTATTGGCTTGCAGAGTGGGACCAGAATCTGACCTCTCAAATGGCTGCTCTGGACTTTGGGGACAACTGACTTCCTCTACAGAGGATGCTTTCGGAGATACTTGCAAGGCCAAACTCTGAACAGCTTTTTTAAAATTGGTCTGATTCTTCCTGCCTTTAATTAGAAGGGCTGAGTCACTGTTTGTTCTTTTGCTAGTAACAGTGTTACTGCTTTCCTCTGTAAAGCATTTTTTCAACTGACTGGGGTTCAGCTGCCTTTTCTGCTGCTCATAAATCAGATTTTTATTCATGCTCTCATCATCACTCTCTTCACTAGAATGACCTCTGTTCTGACACACACTCATTTTAATAGAAGTTTTCCAAGTAGCTTTTTTAATGTGACAATCAGTCACAACATCTGCTGCCTTTTGAGACACTGGAAACATTTCACATCCAGGATGTAGTTTCTCATTTTTACTTTCCTGCACTAGTTTATTTAACTGACAGGAGGAAGAGACACAATCTTTATCAGGATTCAATGCTTCTTTTGTTTGTCTAAAACCTTTTGAAGACCACAGTTGCTTTACATCTTCAGACAACAATGGGCTTGATGGAATGGCAGTCTTCTTATGTATTCGCTTGCTTAGAGACCACTCCTGAACTTGTCCTACAGCATCATCTGAAACCAAATCATCTGCACTATCAGAATAATGTTGATCAGACTGCACAGCACCAGAATATTCCAAGTTATTTCTTACTATTTCATGACCTAGTGGATGCAAGTGTTTTATATAGGTACTTAAGTCAGCTGCTGGATCGTGGGTATCACCTCCATGGTCTGGTGAATTGATGAAGATTTCTTCCAAATCAATTACAGAGGAAGAGGATGATGTTCCTGAATTTTTAGTCAATTGTGCTGGCAACAAAGAGGAGTGAGCCCACATTCTCTGTAAGAGTGAGTGAGGTGATGCAGTCTGAGGAAGAGCAGCAGCTGGTGCTGGCATCTGAACAGCTGTTTGGCAGGAAGCTGAAGCTAACACAGGATCTTTTGATTCAGTGCTGCTCTGGTGTACAAACTTTGGAACAGTTTCTACACCTGACCTGGAGTCTTGCACAGGAAAGACTCCACACCTGGATTTTAAATTCAGTTGAGACAGAAGACTGCTAACTTCATCATTAGCATCAGGTAATTCTTTTTCTTTTGGTCTGTCTTTCCTGTCTGAAAAAAAATAAAAAGGGCAAATCAAAATGGGATATTAATCACAGTTCAGATTTCCTAGTGCTGAGTTATAAAACAGTAAGATACAAGCACAGTCCCTGCAAGATACAATGCCCTGAATCCTGACATGATATTTATTGCTCAGATAATCATAACTGGGAGAAAAGTTTGTTGCTTTTGCTTTTTGTATCATGGAAAGACCCACAAGTTCTTAAGAAATAAATTTTTTTGGCCTTACTTTTTTGTTTCTTCTTCAGAATTTCTGACTTTTCCACCTGATAATGGGCAACAACATCAGGATAAGCAGCCTGAAACAAAGACTCCTCTTCTACTGTAACTACAAACAACTCTGCAGACTCATCTTCTGCATCAACATAATGCTCTGAAAAATTAACGAATGCATGTTACACACATATCAAATTAGGGAATAGGAAAACTAAAAAGCGAAAATATTTATCTGAGTACAAAAAAGGCACAGAAAAAGGTCAACAGTACAGTGTCTGAGGTTTAGCTGTCAAGTTTTTTCCTTCTGCCAGTCTCCTGGCTCAAAAGGGCACACTACAGCTGGAAGTCTGTCAGCAGAGAAAATGTCTAGCTAGTAACCAGTCACAGCTTTGGGCACATAGTGAATTAAGTAAGAAACAGTTCAGATCTTACTAACACGTAACAGAGAAAGCACCTGAAGACTCAGTCCCTTGCTTCCTAGGGAATTAATTTTCTTCAAAAGCACTGCTTTTACTCTGAGGCTATGTGAAATTTGATGCACTTTTTCTACTGTTTTCATAGAACAGTTTCCAATCTCACCCCCATTTCACTGCCTTAAAACGTTGTGAAACTCTTTTCTTCTTCAAAGCACTTTTCTATCAACTGTTTTGTTCCATAACATAGAAACCAGACCAACCTGGTTTTTCCCATGCAATTTCAAAGCAAGGAATTCCGTTTTTAACACGTGTCTTGACTATCCTGGAACAACAAAAAGAAGCCAAATAAATAATTTTGTTTAAACAGGAAAGGAAAAAAATATCAAATTATCTAAAAATACTTCAATACTCTAACTTGTAATAATTGAGAGGAAAAATATTCTTGTAATAGTGAAATTAATACGTTTTAAAAATGCACGACATCCTGTATTAAGTTAGTGAAATATTTTATCTAGATTAGAGCACTTAAACTTTTTTTTTTTAGTGAAACAGCTTAGAGGAGCATAAGAAGAAATAAAAATGCTGTTCTGTAACAGACAAACATAATGCAGACTCCTACAAACATCAGTTTGGTATCTTCAGCTGTGCCACAGAGAAAGCTGTTGCCATAGACAGTAATTTTCTGAATGACCAAACAGGGTAATTTACTCTTTTTGCATGAGAGCATGAATGAACATTAAACATTAACTGAGCAAGGATAGTCAGTCTTTATGAGACTTCTCTAAAAACATTATCTACACCCCAATTTAATAGGTTCCTGTTTGTGAAGAGGCTCCTGCTGAATCTTTGCTGTGTTTTTAGCCACTTGCTAACAACAGAAATCTTTTAGACCACACACAATTTGTCTTTTAAACTCGCAAACCACTAGAAAGTGTTATAAACAGAGAATATCTATAATCCATTAATCAAGGTAAATGCTGATAACTTCTCTAGCCAATGAATTTAAAAAGCAGCTCCCAGCCAGTCTCTCCATTCTTTTGAAATACAACACTGAATAGAACATCTCTGTGAGTAGGGATTTAACGGACTATGACATGCAAAGCCAGAAGAGATCTTCCCACCTTGCTGCTGACTGCCCTTTTGTCCCCCAAACAGCAACAAGGAACAAGGAAGAACTCCTAACCTTCTTGCAATACAAGAATTTTGGGGAGGGAGAGCAGAATTCTAGTTTTATTTGGGAAATTAATCCTGGTCTAGTGGGAGGTGCCCCTGTCCATGGCAGAGAGATCGGAACTACCTGATCTTTAAGGTCCCTTCCAACCCAAACCATTCTATGACTGATTCTATCAAAAAGTCAGATGTTGGAAGTTGAAATAAAGTAGCAATTCTCTTCACACAGGGAAATTAAATTCATATTTGCCAACAGACATTGCAGTTTCTAAATATTTATGTATGTTTAAGAAAAGATTAGACTGACAGAATAAGAAGGTACTAATTCTGACTAAGAAAACCCCTGAGTAACAGAAAACAAGATGGTGGGAAAAAATTCTGTGGGAAACTAGCTACATTCTTATCTTGTTTTTTCCTGCATATCCATTTTTAGTAACAGCATATTTGGTCATTTTTATATTCCTAAATGCAGCAGTCCTGAATGAAAATGTTGTTTTGAGAAGAAGAGGCAGCAGAGTAGAACAGTAAGCCAGAGATGTGATCAGATGTACAGTACCATGAAAGTCAGTAGGTCTGATAAGAAATCAAGAGACCATGACTGCATCTGCAGGTGCTCATTTCTAAGCCTAGGCTCCTACTTTGAATCACAGAAATCCAATTAAACTGCTAACGACCTGAGCAGGGAATGAAACCTGTAATGTTGACTCTCACATGCAGATCCAAGGAGACAGAATAGAAAGTAAGAACAAGGAAAAGCAGGCATCGTCAGTCAAGGAAAACTGATATACATATTACTTTGTGCAGCAGTAGTGTTAAAAATTGGTGTACTGATATAAATTTTTACCTCTGTTCAAAAATGAACACAAAGCTTGAAGTAAAGATGGAAACCCCCCATTTTATTTTAACAAAATAAGGAAAAAACCCCATGCTTTTTCCTCCAGCAGCAGAAGTAAACATATTAAGTTAAAGAAACCAAATCCATTACCGTATTGCCTGCAGTTGTTTTGAATCAATGTACCCAGATTTTCTCTGGATCATATCATAAAGTGTCAATAGTGTTAACAGTTTCTTACAAGCGTAATGTTTGTCCCATTCCATCTTCTCAGAAGCAAATATCTGTTAGTTAAAACAAATACAAAAAATACCCCAAACTTTAAAATTTTCTTATTTTGTTAGATACCATGTTTAGACAGCTGTTAGGTACTCAAGACTAAATACTTAAAATATTGACAATATCTCACTGCCAAGGGAGGGAACAGTCATCTGTAACAGGGTAGATTCAGCAGCTGTCAGTAACAGGCCAAGGAAGCTCTTTTCAGGCTCAGACCCAGATTCTTTTTAGTAGTTGCCAGTGAAAATATGAGGGACAATGAGCACAAGCTGAAACATGGGAAGTTCCATTGAAGTAGGAGAAAATAAATTATTAACTCTGAGAGTGACACTAACTCTGGGACAGGCTGCCCAGGGAGGGTGTGGAGTCTCCTTCTCTGGAGATACTCAACCCTCCTGGATGCAGCCCTGAGTGATGTGCTCCAGGGGATCCTGCTTTAGAGGGGAGTTGGGCTGGATGGTCTCTGGAGCTGCCTTCCAACTCCAGCAATTCTGTGATTCTGTGAAACAGTTGTGTAGTGGCAGCAGCAGTGTGCTTTGAGTTAAAGGGCATCTGAACTTGACAGCTGTCAGTGTTGTAGGAACAGGCTTCCTCTTAACACTGGAACAGATTTCCTAGAGAGGCAGTCGATGCCCCAGGCCTGTCAGTGCATAAGTGGATTTTGGACAATTCCCTTAGTTCTTAGTTCTTTCACTTAATCAGCCCTGAATTGGTCAGGCAGTTGGACTAGAAGGCTGTCATCTCTTCCAACTGAAACAGTCTATGTAATTCTAAATATAAGCCTGCTACCTGGTTTTAAGAGAACAGGCAAGATTCAGAATGAAAGGCACTTCTGCTTGTTATATGCAGAAGCTGGTTATCTCAATGCTACCCTAAAAATCAATGAAAAGAAACTTAAAGGTTAAAAACAAAAAGAGTCCACATCTTCTCTAAATTCTCTTTCTTCCACTATTCATTATACCTCTTTACATCAACTGATTGTTTTCAAGGTCTTCAATTTTAGGCTTTCAAAAAATGAAGTACATTAAGAAGTTGTAGCAAGATTCTTAATTCTTACTTCCAGTAAAATTACCAAAGAAGTTCAGAATTATCACAGATACTTTCTTTGCTAATAAACAAAAGACTAAAGAGCTGAATATACAGTATTTTGTCATATACCTGAAAGGACAATAAATTTGGCCTTTGGCATTCCTTTATCTTGATCAATTTATTCTTGTTTACAAGAAATTCTTGGATAACCTTGAGATAAAACAACAACAAAAAAAGACACTTTGAGAGGGCAGAAATCTGAAATTTAAATTACTTGCTTTATAAAAATGATCTTTAAATAGGCTTGCTGGTTACCTCAGAGAATGGAAAGCCCTCACAACTGGTAGCTTTTCTGCAGGAAAAACAAACTTGTTAGGAACTGAATGAGAAAAAAAGAAGGCTGCCCAGGGAGGGTGTGGAGTCTCCTTCTCTGGAGATACTCAACCCTCCTGGATGCAGCCCTGAGTGATGTGCTCCAGGGGATCCTGCTTTAGAGGGGAGTTGGGCTGGATGGTCTCTGGAGCTGCCTTCCAACTCCAGCAATTCTGTGATTCTGTGAAACAGTTGTGTAGTGGCAGCAGCAGTGTGCTTTGAGTTAAAGGGCATCTGAACTTGACAGCTGTCAGTGTTGTAGGAACAGGCTTCCTCTTAACACTGGAACAGATTTCCTAGAGAGGCAGTCGATGCCCCAGGCCTGTCAGTGCATAAGTGGATTTTGGACAATTCCCTTAGTTCTTAGTTCTTTCACTTAATCAGCCCTGAATTGGTCAGGCAGTTGGACTAGAAGGCTGTCATCTCTTCCAACTGAAACAGTCTATGTAATTCTAAATATAAGCCTGCTACCTGGTTTTAAGAGAACAGGCAAGATTCAGAATGAAAGGCACTTCTGCTTGTTATATGCAGAAGCTGGTTATCTCAATGCTACCCTAAAAATCAATGAAAAGAAACTTAAAGGTTAAAAACAAAAAGAGTCCACATCTTCTCTAAATTCTCTTTCTTCCACTATTCATTATACCTCTTTACATCAACTGATTGTTTTCAAGGTCTTCAATTTTAGGCTTTCAAAAAATGAAGTACATTAAGAAGTTGTAGCAAGATTCTTAATTCTTACTTCCAGTAAAATTACCAAAGAAGTTCAGAATTATCACAGATACTTTCTTTGCTAATAAACAAAAGACTAAAGAGCTGAATATACAGTATTTTGTCATATACCTGAAAGGACAATAAATTTGGCCTTTGGCATTCCTTTATCTTGATCAATTTATTCTTGTTTACAAGAAATTCTTGGATAACCTTGAGATAAAACAACAACAAAAAAAGACACTTTGAGAGGGCAGAAATCTGAAATTTAAATTACTTGCTTTATAAAAATGATCTTTAAATAGGCTTGCTGGTTACCTCAGAGAATGGAAAGCCCTCACAACTGGTAGCTTTTCTGCAGGAAAAACAAACTTGTTAGGAACTGAATGAGAAAAAAAGAACTTAAAAGCTCACCCTGCAGCTGAACACAGGGCAAAGCAGTTCAATGTCAAGACATTCCTACTTTCTGATATTGTCCTCCACTGCACTTGCTTGTTTCACTCGCTGTAGCTGATGCCATTCACAAGGACAGCAGGTTTTGGAGTTGCTGGGTTTGCAGCATCTAGAGCTTTCACAGAATTTACATCCACTGTGCTCGTGTTCCCTGTAAGATCCTACAGAAGCAGATGCATGAAGCATGAGAAGAACAGGTTTCTAAAATCCACATGTACAAAGCTAATAGTACAAAGCTTGAACACATAAATCTGACATCAGTAGCAGCTGTAAGCAGATCTGAAGCCATTAGCTGTATTTATATATATATATGAAATCTTTATTACCTAAAAACCTGCAGAAGTAGTCCCTGACATCCTGACAAATGTGCATGTGACATGTTTGAAACAAGCTTTTCCTTCTCCAAGCAATGGATTTGAATGAGTTCACTGATCCAAGATGCTACCAAAATGAGGTTCTTTAATTTCTTTTTAAGAAAATACTGCAATAAAAGCCAGCAATGCTAATGCATTGAATCCTCTTGATGGAAGATCAATCTGGACAACTAAAGAAATAGTTGCTGGTCAGTATACTTTGTTTACTGATAAGGACAAACAGCTGAGATAGCACAACAGCATTGTGGTAATGTTCCATCTGCTATGAACTAGTTGCATACCTGAAGAAAAGTAGAAGAAGAGATAGCCCAGAAGCTGAATGAGAAGATAATCTGGTTTTAATGCTAGTCAAAGAACTCCAAAATCCAAATAAACAAACAGAAAATCCCCAATCCACCCCATACACCCAGAACAAAAAATAAACTACTAGGTTAAAAATAAAATTCAGTGCTTTTCACACTGACCTGGATGATGGCACTCAGAACAGTGAATTACCCTTTTAACAACCAATGGTGGATTATTATCATATTGAAATTGTTCCTGCCATTGCTCAAACCTAAAAGGATGATATCAAAAGGATTTATAAATATATTTTAACTTTCATAATTAAATAAAACATAAAAATACTCCCTTTATACTTCTCAGGCATCTAACCAAGAAACAGAGTTTTCTCATTCATAAAATTGTTGCTTTTAAAGTACATTATATGACTGTTGTTTTTTTAGTAATCACACACCTATGATGACAACCAGCATAGAAAGCATTTGGTATCTCATCTTCTGATCCACAACTCAACTAAAAATCACCACAAGTCTCTCATCAGCCCTTTCCCTTTCCAATATATCAAGCTGTATCTGCTAGCTCAAGAGCTAGGAGACAGCTTGTCTAGCAAGACACAGAATTCATTTAGCAAAGTAAGGAATATTGTAATTTCTGCCTCCCACCCCCAAATTAATTTACAAACATTGTCTTGGAGCTGAAGTACATCCTAGCAAGTCTTAGAACAAGAGCAAAGTAGTTAATCACATAATGTAAACTTTCATTTTACCTTTGCAGTAAGTTTTGACCTTGCAAAGTTTCAATTAACTTTAAAGCTTGTTCCTTCCCAACTCCTGGAACACCCTGTGAAGACAAACCACATTTAATGACACACAAAGTATTCAGATTTTCATAAAATCTCCCTTCATAGTATTACATAAATAAATGAAGAATAAAGATCCCAGATGTTGAGAACAAATAGAGAAAAATAATTTTTGACCAAGTTCAGAAGTCAGAGGAAGTAACATGACAGCTGTAGTACCCTGTAACACACACACGAGCTGCTTGAAATGCTCTTGTGCTCAAAAGCAGCTCAGATAATGCAAGGTGGGGAAAGAAGGTCGTAGAAAACAACAGGAAAAGTGGTTTTATTTGGTTTGTTTTCCTTCTTGTCATCTGCAACAGGACTGCAACACAGAAGATTAGTAACATTCTTGCCAGGTGACTGTCAAGAGAGCTGAAAATTTTCAGAATTGTCTTGGAGAGACAAAATGAAGACAGATCTTTTGGATTTTAGAGTCAAAAGGCTGGAGATTAAGAGACAGAACAAACCCAGCAAAAAGCTTTCACTCACAGGAAAGAGAAGCTTTATGGCAACAGAAACAACTTCTAATACATGAAGACCTCAAGCACTTCTATAAAATCAATTTGGACAGGTGACAAAGAAACATGCAAGAGCATTTTCTGAAAAGTAATTAAAACCCCCCAATAAAACTACAAACCCAAAGAACTCCTCTCCTCCATTTCAATAATTGCTTGCTTGATTTTAATATTTACTCCATTCTTACATCTGCAGTATTCATGTCCTTATAGGAAGGGACTACCAGCATGGAGAATAGATAGGGACAGTGAGTATTTTCAGAGAACCAGAGAAGGGTTTTGGTTGAGAGGGATCTTTAAAGGTCATCTAGTCCACCCTTCCTGCAATAAGCAGGGACACCTTCAACTGGATTAGGTTGCTCAGAGCACCATCTAACCTCCCCTTGGAAGTTGCTCTCCTGGAACCTAGCTAATGGATTAAAATCCAGAACTTTGTAGTAAAGGTACTGAAGAGTGAAAGCCAGTTGATTCAGAACAACCAGAGGGAGAGCACAGAAAATGATCAGAGGAAGAGAACACCTCTTCTATGAGGAGAGGCTGAGAGAGTTGGGGTTGTTCAGCCTGAAGAACAGAAGGTTCCAGGGAGACCTTAGAGCACCTTCCAGGACTTAGAGGCAGCTTATGAGAAAGATGGGGACAAACTTTTTAGTAGGGCCCATGACAACGGGCAACAGTTTTACATTTAAAGAGGGTAGATTCAGACCAGATACAAGGAAGAATTTTTTTAGTGTGAGAAATTGGTGACTGATCCTTTCCTGTCCTTGTCTCAAACCACAAGCTTGTCCTTCTATTTTCTCCTCCCCATCCCACAGTGCGAGAAGGAAAGAGCAAGTAGTAGCATGGTACTTTGTTGCCAGCTAGGCCTAAAACCATGACAATGACCTTTAAAAGGTCCCTTCCAACCCAAATAATTCTAGGATTTAAAACATATATACTGCTTTTCAGTTGCATTTTTGATCCTTACTCTGTTTTGCTAAGAATCAGTACAGTTGAAAATAAAGACTGCACTGAATGTGCTTTCTACAGCGTTATTAAAAATAAATCTAAACCTTATTTTCATTCAGCTCTAATGGCTGAACTGAATATATGTAACCACATGAAATCAATGTACATTCAAAAACAACTACAAGTTCTCACTGGACTGCAGCCAGGCACTCATATTCAGATATTCAGCTTCTACAAGTATTACTTCGATATTTATTCAGCCAAGGCAATGCAATTATAGAGTGGTACTTCCCTTTATCTTTCCAAACCCCATTCCCAATGCAGTCCTGTAATCCAGCTTTCCTTGGAAGTTTCTGTCTTAATCCACTTTGCTGGGATGCAGTAACTCAAAAGATCTATCTGGCATTACTTAATTGTGTCACTTCAGGACTATACAGGAATGTGGCATTCTGGGAGCTGCTAGTTCCATTACAGTGGAGAGAGGAAGAAATCAGCAAGAAGCCAGGAGAAAAAAAGACTCTATAAAGAGAAGCAAGCCTTAAAAAAAATTAAATAAATTAGAGCTATCTGCTCTTTCAGCATTATCAACTGTTCTAAAGCAGTTTTATCAAAATGTAACACAATTATTTAGGAGTAATTAGATATTCACTGCAAGCCTGAATGGGAGCAGCTGCTGCCTGAAGACACTGTATGCTGAACTGCATGAAAATCTAGTTTCATCCCATTTCCTCTCAATTTCAAAGAGCCAATGAACAGTCTCCAAAAAAACAACCAAACAAGAGCTTATAGGAAATGCAAAAAGAAAACCTGAGAACCTTCTCACTTGATTCATTAGGAAATTTTTCAAATAGGTGGCTTCTGCTTCTTCATAAATCATATTTACTAATGACAGAACTAAAAGGGGACAAATCCAAACTGCCTCCAGAATTGGCATAAGTAAAAACTACAGTTCAAAGTCATCACCACCAAGTGTTCCCAGCAGCACAGAAAAAGCTGTTTTTCTCATTTTGTACAGCTGTTCTGCGAGGATTGTCCTTACATGCAAATAGGTACAAAACATCCTCACAAACACCTTTGCTCAATGTAATCAACATCAAAACTTTTGACTTCACCTCTATTACAGGAAAAGTTTGGGATAATACATAACACTTTTTGAAATATTAATGTTCATGAACCTTTAAGCCTTCACAAATAAAATTTACAGCAACTTACTGAGCATCTTCTTCCACTAGATCTCAGTAATCATGCACTGCCTACAGTTCTGTCAGCATGCCCGTGCCTCCCTTGATATAACTGGTTGTTTTTCAAGACAGTTTAAGTACCCAATAAAAAATAATTGTATTGCTTACCTTTGGAAGGTAATCACAACCCAGGAGAACAGCTAGCCCAATCAAAGACTCTCTGTCACAACCCAGTTTTTCCTTAATTGAGGACATTGTGTAACAGTCAAGGTGTGGATCCTGCAAGAGAAATGTATTGCATGTGTTATTTCTGTACTATCAGGGAAGGAGCTGCCTTGAGTCACATTCAGCTGGAATTGCTCACTCATATCTGCTGGATATGCGTGTATCCCATAGATGGAGTCTGAGAGCAAAAAGAAAAAACAACAACAACAAAAAACAATTAAAATTGATAATGTAATGTATGGACACCACATGAATACCTACAGCTCTGGAAAGTCAAGTTTTAAGTATGGACATCAGCTGTTGAGAGAAACTAAAATAAGCCAAAGGGTGTTTTTAATGACGTTATCCAGCACTAGTGGCTGTGGAAGTCATCTCAGGAACTAGTTTCTAAAATCCATGTAAATATTTAAATGTGCTCCTTGAGTAAAAAAATGAAAAAAATAATTAAAATGTTACGTAGCATGTGAGACATAAAGGAATCTCTAAAGGGTAGAGGGACTCATATACACCAACATTCAAGATTAACATGAATCAAAATATAGGATGCTGCCCTCTGCCCCCTTGCAAAAAAAGACCAGAAAAACCCACATAAGCCAGCAACACAGCATCACCCAGCTTTATGGAACAGATGCCCCTGACAGACACACATTCACATACATTATTTTTTATGTTGACTTGGATATGTAACAAAGCACACCCGAAAGCTTGAGGCCACCTTCATTTTTGGTGTTAAATGACAAGAAAGTTGAATGAAAGAACCAGGTCAAGATAAAACCACCAAAGCAAATAATCTTCCAGAAGTTAATTGTTCATAGCACTTTTTTTTACTGTTCTATGGATTTTCTCCTATGACTGAAATATTTTTCTCAACAAGTCTTTCAGATGAGCGTTATTTAAAATTTCAATCTCGATACCATTTTCTCTCCACTTTTCTGCTAAATTCACCAGACAGAACACACATGTTCCTCTCTAATTTACAGAGAAAGTATAAATTACGGAAATTTAGGGTTGCCTTTCACCAGTTTTGGAAAATTTCACTCCTAGCCAATAAACACTTCAGATCGAGGTCAGAAATGGATGTGTGGTTTTGAATGACCACAACCACTGATGACAATACAGACGTACAATCCCCACCCTGTTCACATTCAATTGAAGACTAATAGTATGACTTTTAAGTGTATTAATAGTAAAATAAGCGTGTAAGATGCAAATGTGTGTACACTGTTATTAGACCCAGGAGGCTGACCACGCCCACATGCCTTAATGGTAAATTCATAGGAAGCAACTACTTCACTCAAATTCTCCATTGTAGAGGAGGAAGGGGAGGGCAAGTTTGCTCCTTAGGTTTATATAACATGTCAAAGGACCCTACAAACTGTAATACTCCAAATGTTCTTCAATCCAGTGGTTTTGCTCTCACATCCAACACACAGACTGCCAGTGATTCAAAGAAAAAACACTCCTGCCTTAAATGCACTGATTTAAACAAACCTAACTACTAGGGGGTAAATGCAATAATATCTACTAAGCTATTGTTTCAAGTTCATTATTTCTATTTACACTTTTGGGAAGAGTCTAAAGAGAGGGTGAGAAAGGGATGTGGTATATTACCTTAGCATTCATGGCAAAGTTCCTATAAACTGTTTGAGCTCCATATAAGAAGGCATCTCCATCATTGGTAATACAGCCATCAACATGTCCTTTTGCATTTAAATAGGCACACATTGCCTCTGCTTCCCCAGCTGCCTGAACCCACGGGACACCTAAACACTCCAGCAGTTCCAGACACTAGAAGAAGTAATCCAAAAAAATAAGAAATGGAATGTTGAATTAGATCCACTTATTAGCATGTGTTTTCTCAGACACAAGTATATATACAAAACCTGCTGCTGTTGTACTGCCTATAGAACACTACATCAATACAGCCCCTGCTTTAAGAAAAATACAGCTTACAGTAACAGTCAAAAGAAATGGTCAACTAAGAGCAAAACTCTTAGTTACAGGACTTAAACACAACATGATGAATGGCTACTCCATCAAAATCTTTCCCCTTTCAATAGGTATTCAGGATGTTTTTGAAAGAAAATACCAAAGGAATATTTATCTTTGTGAAGCAATGCTGGTTGTTTACTCAAGCAGTGATACTGGGCTAACCCAAACATCTTTCAACAGGCATCAGAAGTATCAGGCACCGAGTACAACACTGTCAGCCCCAGGGCAAGATAAACTCATGCATGCTCATACACTTATAGAGGTCAGATAAAAAAGAAATTATGTTGGAGTTTAAGAACAAAAGATGATTTGATGCACTAAATGTACTGAGGCCATGAGTCTAAATTGTATCTCATCAAATTTGCAATAGACAAACATGGTTACATATCTGCAACAGTGAATGAATTCAACTACTGAATAGGAAGTCTCTGCAACCAGTTGTCTCAACCATGTACACCAAGGTGACTACACAATCTTCCTGTTAGCCTAATTTAGCAGGTTTCCAACAAGAGTATCCTCTTAGCTAGTCAGCCAGTTTACCAAATCACAGATCTACATTACAAAACAGTCCCAGTGCACCCCTTTAAAAATACACCAGCTTCTTACATAGGTACACAACACATTTCTGTTTTCACATGTACTACAATCTAGATTTTAAAAAAGTATCAATACTAACACTGTAGAAGAAGGAAGCTGAATTTCAGTAATAAGCATTGAATTACGACTGTGGCTCACTATAGCATAACATGCACAAAACACATCCAAAAAGAAAATTGTTCTGACAGGGTCCCTCTTCTACACCACCAGTTAACAGATGCTGTGAGGGTCAATTTCAAAGGCACATGTTTGCTCAGAACTCAAAATACTGCTGAAATGTGTTGTGTAGAAAACTATGAACTCTTTTTAGTTCTGGTATTCAGTTTGGTTAAGATTTTTTTTTTTCCTATCACATTAAAAACACTGAAACACAGTCCTCAGTTACCTCTTTTAACATGGCTTTAAATATAGATCTCCCTGTTCTTGCAGCTCCAGCTTTCTTGGAAGGTCCGTAGCGCATCTCGTTCCTCTTACTCATGGTGTCTGCTTTCAACTTGGGGGCCTCTCCTTCCATGACAAACACCAGTTTAATTCCCATAGATGTGAAGAAAGAGAACCGGAAAAATAGGTTTCTGCAACGAAGCAAGGTGTTCCATAAGCTGCAGAAGTAGCCAAGCCTGATTTCTTCCCATTTTCCTTATGTCCCTCAGCCTAGTCTCAGAACAAAATTAGCTTTCTCTCCACCGTTTAGGATTCCCCCATCCCCAAGCTAACAAACCTTTATCAATATCCCTGTCTTTGGTTGCTTTACTATGGACTTGTAACAGTTTTAGAAAATTCTCCCCAAAATACCATATGAGGACAAGAAAGGCTTATTTTACGTATAAAGACATAAGCAAATTAAAAGGCTTAATAAAAGACATTTGGTATCCAAAGTCTGCTTCCAAATTCACATTTCCACATTCATTCTTTTATACACAAAAAAAATTAATCCCAAATCTATCAATACATCAGATTCTGAAGTGACTGAATGCTGTAGCATTAGACAGACTCAGATTTTACTACCATGCCAATTTATTTCATATGCAAAACAGAGTAGGTGACAGGTGGAATTTTGCAAGGGAGCAGGATTAACCATTTGGTCTATGACAGTAAAATTGAGAGCAGTAATATCAGACAGCATTTACTTTTTCCAGTAATTCCACAATCAATCTTTCAGAAAGAGTAATCAAACATTTATATCTTGATTGACATGGAAAGACTATTACACTACATTTAATTTTTTCCCACAGCAAATTTACAAAATTATAAGCTCATCTTTTAAGGCTGGTTTTACTTTCAGAAATGATGTAAGAATTAATCACACTAAGTTTCTCTAAAATACTGAGCATATCAATTTAATTTCCAACTGCCTGAAAACATTTCCTTTTTATTTGGTAGAAATCTGTTCACTCCTTTGTTATAGTTTGGAAAGACTGCATCAGAAATCTAGCCTGATGCTCCCATTCCACTACTGCACAGAGGACATCCTATCAGAGAGAAGTAATGACTTTGGTCAGGATTCAAGTTTTAGTTAATTATCCATGTGGATATAAGCATAACATTTTAACAAATTAATCTTTAAAGATGCTGGTATTAAATATCTGTTGAATTCAACAGAAGCCACAGGAATGTCTAACAGCAGCTAGTAACTGTATTCTTCAGCTAACCAGCAACAGGTCATTTATGAAAAATTTGTGTATCTTTTAATTTTTATCAGCATCATTTGTAGAAAACAGTGCTTTGAAGTTACAGTTGCTTATGCTTGATCATTCCTTAAGTATGTGGTTCATTTAAGTTCAAAATACACATATTTAAGGTTGTTCATAAGCCTGAAGAATGATTTAAACATATTTAATCCAGCATGGGGGCTAACTACAATTTTAACTTATAAGCCACATCAGGCAAAAACATGCATGACTAAGTATACTCTGAATTGACTAGAATCCAAATTGCTGTGATAAACCAGTTGAAACTCCCATGCTGCCTTCCACCACACAGCCTCAGAAATATACAGGAATTACTAGGACATTGCTTTGTGTTCCTTAATAATCTGCATAGCACATAGTGCTGAACCACAGTAAGATAAACATGTTTTTTTTAATCTCCATCTCATCCTTAGCTACAGTTGAGGCCTGAGCAGTTCTACTTGCACCCGAGCATTAAGTTCAGCCAGTATGACTGAGTCTCCACTTCAAACCCTTTATGCACATAACACAAGCCATAACAGAAACAAACAACTGAGTCAAATTAATTTAGGAGGCAGTCTTAAATTTGGAAGTGCCACCACACCTAAATTATACAGCTCCAAGACTTTTGGCTACAATAATTTCTATGGGTACCATACCTCAGATGTGGCTTGGTAACTACTCCAATCATCTTTTTGACAGTCTGAGCTTCACAAACCCACAGGCTTAAATCAACAGCAAGTGTTTTTCCTTTGAGAGTGCTCAAGTTGACAGGTTGTCTCACAGGCTCAAGGATTTGCCACAGATTAGTCACTCCCATTGTTCTACCTTCTTTGCTGTCAGCATGAAAGTTTGAGCTGTGAAGACCAAGCAAAATAAAACACTGTCAGAACATGACATGAAGTCTGACATGTTACGAACATGAAGTTTAGAAAAGAAATATTTATTATCTGTTCTGCTTTTATGGGCCAAGAACAGTTGCAATCAAGCCTTCTAAATGTGCAGTGACTCTAGTTCACAGATGGTTGTTACTAAATATGCTCTTTCAACTGTACATTTTCACTGTTGATAGCCTGAACATAAATAAAAACAAACTCAGTTGGGGGGAGAGAAAGAAGAACTCAATTCCAAGTCTCCTGTGTCCCTTGCATACACACAATCCAAGCTTCATTTAAAAACAAAGAAAAACGACACCTCTTGAGGGAACTACTTTCAGGTCTGAAGTGTTAGGGTTGATACTAAAATATTCCTATTTATGTAGAAACAGCTTAAAGCTACTTGAGAATATTTATGACAGAATTGAAACTCTCCTTAGTATTCCAAGATGATGTAACTGTCAATAGTTACAGATTCTGGCTTGGATAATTCAAGATGAGCTTCAGGAAAAAGAGTGATGAGAGGGTTACTGGTTACCCAGAGGCTGCCAAATTTCTGTTCTTGGAGACTTTCAACACCTATCCAGGAGACTGCCTTACTGGTTTAACCCACAGAATGGGTTGGAAGGGACCTTAAAGGTCACCTAGTCCCACACTGGTCAAAGTCCCCTTCTGAGCACAGAACCAGCACTGATGCTGACCTCCAGAGGTCCCTCCCAACAAGCTTTTCAACATTTCTAACACTGTGACTGCAGAAACACACCAGCACTTTTTAACTATTTTAATCTATTCCTGCACTGTCACATTGCACAAAGTTTCCCTTGTGCTTATTTATCTACTTTTCCCTCTTCTATCTGAAATTGGAAGATAAAACTAAAATACCATTTGGAATGTTTTGTATTTATTTCAATATATAAAGCAGGACAGCTTTATAATATAATATATAATTTCTGCCACTGCAGAAATAAAGTTCTCATGTTAAGATTTCCTTATGTTTTTCTATCCCACTTCTTTGATTTCTTCAGTCACCAAACCTGATTTTATTTGTATGCACACACAGCATAATGCATTGCTTTTGTTGTTCTTACACCTCAAGCACATGAATGGAGTTAAAAATAAAAATAAAGCATGGCATTATTTCTTCAAGTCCAGAATGATCAATTTCTCTGATGCATGGGGGAAGCAAATAAAAGGCATCCAAATGTGTGATATTCAGCTCTGGGCGAGGGGGAAGGGGGGCAGGGAGGGGTGTTAACAAGTGAACACCTAGGAAAAAAAGGGAGATGCATTTTGTGATGCAATCAAGTGGTTCCTGTCAGTCTACATCAAGATACGTTTGTTTTTTTTAAAGAAAAAAAAAACCAACGAAAACTGTGCTAGTTGGTTTCTAAGTATTGTTATGGAATGTCACATGGTACTTAACTATTAACAGGAAAGAGATACATTACAAACACCTAACATTCCGTAAGATCACAATTCATAAAGAAAAAAATGAGTATCAAAATTAAAAACTATCAACCCCCCCATTTTCAGTTTGAGATAATAAAGTGGCAGTATACGAGGACAAAGTTCTCCTTATTCTCATTCAATGCACATCTAAGGTAGAGTGATATAAGTCTGTAAGACCTACTTATCTTTGCTTTTTTTAGTGTATTCTGTAAAATATTTAGATCTGGATCTGGTATAAAAAAAAAGATCCAGTACTTTTAAGAGCAGTTATCTGCCTAACCAGATTTTATTGAGGAGCTTCAATCATCACAAGCTGCCAACCTTCTTAGAGAGATGGTAACTTCCAAAGCAGGGGGGCTGAACCTGACTGTCTCCATATACTTACATACCACTGAAAGCACCATGCTATTACAAGATCATTGACAGGAAATTTAAACCAAAAAACCTTCTCAATTTCCCACTGGGCCAGGACGTGCTACAGCTACATAGCTTCATTATTCATCAACAGGGTTTTAAGACCATATTCTACTCTACAAAGTCTTTCACACAGCCACAAAAGCAAACCCCTTACTTGAAAATAACACAGAAGACGTTCAATATGGAAGTTTAACTCACGGATATTTCACCTCTTGGCCAAGGCAGCTTGCAGAGACTGCACAAGAACACGCTTTTACGTCTGACCCAGGCCTTTGAATTAAGAGGAAAGCAAAGCAAAGCAAGGCCATGACATGTAATAACTGCTTCACTCCCTCTCTGCCCTACCCCAGCACCTGGGATGAACCCGAGCACCTGAAGCACGGCAGGACGCTCCTGCACTTCGGATTCCTCCTCAACCTCCTACATTTCCCGCCATGGGACGAACACAGCGGCCAGACGCTGCCTGAAGGCGAGAACAAGAGACGCGCAGGCTCCTGAAGCACAAACATTCAAAATCCCCGCCTGCAG